AGCAGACTGGCAAGGTGTAGGTATACTGGCTTGTAAGAGCCGTTGAATGTGGGGGCTGATTCCCTCTCTAGCCCGCTGACTCATAGGGTATTGCTTGACTGGAACAGGCAGGGCAGTAGCCAGAAGTTCTACAACTGCCGGCAGATGGTGCTTTGCCAGTCCTGGAGGATTCGATTCTGCCCAGACCCGGGGAAAAAGAGTTTGCAGACCTAGTAGGAGAGGGTGAGTTTTGCCCATTTTCGGCTGTGAGGACAAGACTAAGAGAGATTCCTCTGATAGGGGGCAGGCAGCAGGAGCTGAGCAGGAGGGGAATCTGTCCCCTAATTTGAGATGAATTTGCTGAGCTGAGGAGATGGATGTCTGCAACTCATAAAGCAGGTTTTGCCCAAGGAGACGGAAGGGGCACTCTGGAACTACTAGAAATGAATGAGTTACTCTCTTTTGACTTAAGTTCACCTCACGTGAATGGGTAACAGGATATTCCTGAATAGCTCCAGTAGCCCCCCGTGCAGCCACCCTTCTGTTGGAGACACTGCCCAAGGGTGTTTGCAGTGTAGAATGTTCAGCCCCCGTGTCGATTAGAAAACGTACAGGCTGGTCCCCCTGTTGGCTTGCTCTTAAATTCTTTCCTGTGTGATCTCAAGAACCCATGTGGGCTCCTGGCCTGAGCCCCAATTTGGCGGTTTGCCCTGTGACACACAGACACACAGTCAGTTGTTTTCTCTTTCCCTCTCTCTATTTCTCTCTCCCCCAACCATCTTTTTCCCTTTCTTTCTTTCTTTCTTGCTTTTTTTGAGACAGGATCTCGCTCTGCTACCCAGGCTGGAGTGCAGTGGTGTGATCACAGCTCACTGCAGCCTCGACCTCCTGAGTTCAATCAATACTCCCACCTCAGCCTCCCTAGTAGCTGGGACTACAGGTACACAGCATCATGCCCAACTGATTTTTGGTATTTTTCATAGAGATGGGGTTTCACCATGTTGTCCAAGCTGGTCTTGAACTCCTGGGCTCAAGTGATCTGCCTGTCTGGATCTTCCAAAGTGCTGGGATTGCAGGCATGACCCAATACTCCTGGCCTAGCTGTCATCTTGCTGTGTTATCACATGGTGGAGAAAAGAGAGCTAGTCTCTGGCGGCTGCTGTGCTGCTGTTTTTTTTAGGTAAGAGTCCTGCTCTGTCACCCAGGTTAGAGTGCAGTGGCGAAATCTCGGTTCACTGCAACCTCCGCGTCCCTGGTTCAAGCCATTCTCCTGCCTCAGCCTCCTAAATAGCTGGGACTACAGGCACCTGCCACCACGCCTGGATAATTTTTTTTTTTAGACGAAATCTTGCTCTGTCACCCAGGCTGGACCACAATGGTGCAATCTCGGCTCACTTCAACCTCCCTGTCTCAGGTTCAAGCGATTCTCCTACCTTAGTCTCTCCCATAGCTCGGACTACGGGTGCATGCCACCACATCTGGCTAATTTTTGTGTTTAGTAGAGAATAATGTTCACTACGTTGGCCAGGATAGTCCCAAACTCCTGATCTTGTGATCTACCCACCTCGGCCTCCCCAAGTGCTGGGATTACTTGGGGAGCCATGGCACCCAGCCCCACTGTTGCTTCTTACAGGGCACGAGTCCCATTCACAAGGGCTCCACTTTCATGACCTAACCACCTTCCAGAGGCCCTACCTCCTGACACGATCACATTGACGGTCAGGATTTCAATAGATGAATTCAGCACGTGGTGACACACATATTCCGTTCTCAGTGCTCCACATGTGCTGGTCATGGCGGAGCAGGCCAGCCCCAGCTGTCACGAGGCAACGGTCACAAGAGTCTTGAGGGAAACGCGACAGGGCTAGTTCACTGCATGAGTGCTCATCAAGACCCCTGATGGGAAATTTCATCCCATTCACTCTGAGTCCTCTCACGGTGGCCCACAGGCCTGTCTACAGGCCACTCCTGGCCACCTGGAAGGAGAGAGGCAGAAACTCTAGCTAAGTGTTCAGCTGGGAGAGTTGCAGTGGGAGAGGAGGAGGATGAGGAGGGAGCATAGGACTGGGTGGTGCCTAGATGGGGCCTGCAAGGCAGCAGGAAGCAAAGATGGCTTCAGGTGGATTCTGCCTCTCCCCAGATCCACCTGGGCTAGGTGGGAGTCCTGGCTGGGGGTCCCATGGCCTGGGTTGGCCCGTTCTACTGCATGGGCTTCCGAGCCTCCACTCGTCCTTCTGCATGGGGAGCCAGCCCTCTCCAGCCAGCAAGCAGTCTTTGCCGCCGCCACTAGAGAAGCCCCCATAGTGCCTGTCACTGTATGTGAGGTAGAGTGATGCCGGCCCCTGGTGAGAGGTTCAGATGCTGGCCTTGGGAGCAGGCCAGAGGCAGGTTGGGTGGAGGCCACAGACTGCATCCTTACCTGTGTGCACGCGAGTCCTCTGTGCCACTGTTGCCACGTTTCACGTCTACATATGTTAGAAACCTTGATATCTTATTTTTGCTGCACCTACTTGTTTTATAGAAAATAAAAATTTTTCTAACACATTTCTCATTTCCTATGCTCTTCCATCTTGTAGATCTGAGCCTCCATATTGTATCACCTTGTATCATCTTCAGCCTGAAGAACTTTTTTTCTTTTTTTTTGAGATGGAGTGTTACTCTGCTGCCCAGGCTGGAATGCAATGGCATGGTCTCGGCCCACTACAACTTCCACCTCCCAGGTTCAAGCAATTCCCCCAAGTTCAAGCAATTCTCCTGCCTCAGCCTCTGAGTAGCTGGGACTACAGATGCGAGACACCACACCCAGCTAATTTTTGTATTTTTAGCAGAGACGGGGTTTCGCTATGTTGGCCAGGCTGGTCTCGAACTCCTGACCTTGTGATCTGCCCGCCTCGGCCTCCCAAAGTGCTGGGATCACAGGCATGCGCCACCATGCCCGGCCTTCTTTTTTTTTCTGAGATGGAGTTTCACTCTTGTTACCCAGGCTGGAGTGCAATGGTGCCCTCTTGGCTCACTGCAACCTCCACTTCCCGGCTTTAAGTGATTCTCCTGCCTCAACCTCTTGAATAGCTGGGATTACAGGTGCCTGCCACCATGCCTGACTAATTTTTCAATTTTTAGTAGAGACGGGTTTTACCATGTTGGTCAGGCTGGTCTCTAACTCCTGACTTGAGGTGGTCCGTCCACCTCAGCCTCCCAAAGTGCTGGGGTTACAGGCGTGAGCACTGCACCAGGCCTGAAGAACTTTTAACACTGCTTATTCCTTATGCACTGTAGTAAAATTTTTACAGCATAAAAGTTGTCATTTTCACCTTTTTTTTTTCTGAGACAGAGTCTTGCTTTGTTCCCCAGCCTGGAGTGAGTGGTCCAATTTTGGCTCACTGCAACCTCTGCCTCCAGGTTCAAGCAATTCTCCTGCCTCAGCCTCCTGAGTAGCTGGGATTACAGGTGCCTGCCACCATGCCCTGCTAGGTTTGTATTTTTAGTAGAGATGGGGTTTCGCCATGTTGGCCAGGCTGGTCTTGAACTCCTGACCTCATGATCCGCCCACCTTGGTCTCCCAAAGTGCTGGGATTGCAGAAGTGAGCCACCTGGCCCAGCCTAGCCATTTTAATGTGTACAATTCAGTGGTATTATTACCGTCACAACTTTGTATAACCATCACCACTACTTTCAAAACGTTTTCATCACTCCAAAAGGAAACCCTACACCTATTAAACAATGCTTCTTCAATCCTCCTTATCCCAGCCCCCGAGCCTTTAATCTAATCTACCTTCTGTCTCTAAGAATCTTCATTCTAGATACTTAAGATAAGTAAATCACGCATTTGTCTTTTTGCGAGTGGCTTATTCTACATAGCACGTTTTCAGGGTTTACCCATGGTGTATCCTGTGTTAGAATTTCTTTCCTTTTTAAGGGTGAAAAATATTTCATCCTTTGTATGGACCACATTTTGTTTATCCTTCCATCCACCCATGGACGCATGGGCTGTTTCCCTTTGGCTCTTGTGAAAAATGCTGCAGTGAACACGGAGGGCGCAAATTAGGTCTGAGTCTCTGATTTCCATTTTTTTGGGAATGTAGGCAGAAGTAGGGTTTCTGGATCATACGGTAGTTCTCCATTTTTTCTTCTAGAAAGGCAGACTGCCACATGCAGCGCCTTATTTGGATGTGTTTGTGGAGTCTTGACAACCCTACGCTCTCCTACAAATGGACCTTGAGCGCTTGTCTGGAGGTTCTAGCGGGGGAGGGCAGCTCCTCTATAGGTTATGGTCGGCCTGTTCGACTGAGCCGCAGCTTCGGGAGGGACGCACTCGAAGCGGTGAGGAAGGAAGGGACATCCGCCCAGCCAGCCAGAGCAGCCGAATCAACCCTGGCGGTTACTGGGGTGACAGGTGTCGCGGCCCGATCGCCCTCACATCCGGCAGTTCTCCTTTTCACCTCTTGAGGGATCTCACCAGTTTTCTGCGGCGCTGCGCCATTTACATTCCCACCCACAGCGCACGGAGATTGACAATGAAACAGGTTTCTACTGACGAACCCAAAGCTTTCACGCCTTCAGAGCTCCGCCATGTCTATCCAAGGACCCTTGCCCTCCTGCGTCTTCTCCTCCGGCCACGGTGAGCGCGTCCACCGGGCTTCCCGGGTCAACAGTAACTGTTAACCGGCCCTTCTCCCATGGGGCCCCCCCGTAGAGCCTAACACTCAACCGGCGCGAAATGAAACGCAGGGACGCGGGAAGGAGCTGCGGTGCGGCCCGGGACGGCCCCAGGTCTCGCCCCTCCCGCAGTCTCCCAAGGGGACGCGAGCCCGGGCGGCACAATCCGAGCCGCACGACTCCCCAGAGCCCGAGCCGCCGCTTCCCGGCCGCGACCGGGCCACTTCCGGGCGCTCACTAGTGACGTTCCGCCTCCTCTGCGTCTGCGCGGCTCCGCCTCCCCGCGGCCATTGCCAGGGCGACGGCGCGTCGCAGGCGGCCGGCAGACATCCGGGCCGTTTCCCCGCGGCTCCGCCCCGCCCGCGGGGAAACGGTCGCGTAGCGATGACGTCGCGGGGGCCTGGCCGGGCGTCGGGGACTCAGGAGATGGAGGAAAAGGAGATATTACGGCGGCAGATCCGCCTCCTGCAGGGTAGGTCCTACCGGGGCCGGGACGCGAGTCCCCTTCTTCCCGCCTCACCTCGCGGCGGGTCCCCAGCCCCCCTTGTCGGAGGGGTCGCTCTCCGCCCGCGGGTTCCGAGTGTCGGCTGGGGTGGGGGACCGTAGGGTCTGTGAGGACTTGCGGGCCGGCCGGGGCGCGGGTCAGGCCCCTGCTCCAGCTGCCGAGGGAGTGGGCCGGCCCTGCGGCGGCCGCGGAGGCGGGGGCGGGGCCGTCGCTTAGTAACCCGCGGGAGGCGGCGGCCCACCCGGCCCCCGAGCTGCTGGCTTCCCCGGCGCCCACCCTCTCTCCCCGCGCCCCGCTGCGGGGCTGGGACCGGTTCCTGGCTCACTGCGGCAGAGCAGGCTCGGGGCGCACGCAGGTTCCTTCCTTGACGCCCATTTTTATTTGTTTGATTGTTTTTTAGAGACAGAGGCGTGCTCTGTCGCCCAGGCTGGAGTGCAGTGGCGCGATCTCGGCTCACTCTAACCTCCGCCTCCCGGTTCAAGCGATTCTCCTGCCTCAGCCTCCCCAGTACCTGGGGCTACAGGCATGCGCCGCCACGCCCGGCTAATTTTTGTATTTTTAATAGAGACAGGGTTTCACCATATCGGCCAGGCTGGTCTCTAACGCCTGACCTCAGGTGATCCACTCGCCTCGGCCTCCCAGAGTGTTGGGATTACAGGCGTGAGCCACCGCGCCTGGCCTGGACTCCCGGTTTTGATGCCCCCTTTCTCCGGACGGTCACATTCCTCTTGCTATTCCAGGCGCAGACTCAACAGGCTTCAGCTTCCACACTTAAATATTTTAAAACCCAAATTGGTCTTTCCAAACTTAAACGAAATAAAACAAACAACAAAAAATTCATGTGCAGACGCAGTGGCCCACGCCTGTAATCCCAGCACTTTGAGAGGCCGTGGCAGGAGGATGGCTTGAGCCCAGGAGTTTGAGACCTTCCTGGGCAACCTGGCGAGACCCTGTCTCTACAGAGAAATGTTAAAAAATGAGATGGGCTTGGTGGCTCGCGCCTGTCGTAGGCTGAGGTGGAAGGTTCGCTTGTGCCCAGGAGGTCCTGGCTGCAGTGAGCTGTGTTTGGGCCTCTGCTCTTTAGCCTGGGCAACAGCAAAATCCGTCTCAAAAGCCGAAATCAACCAACCAAACAAAAACTAATAAAAAGAAAATGAAAATGAAAAATTCTTTTTGCTTTTACTCTTGCAAAGGAAGGACTTAAGGATTGGGAAAGTGTGTATGGAGGAGAGGCCAGGTGGGCCGCCTCCCACTTGGGGCCACTTCTCAGGCTCACATTTCATCTGCCCTTGGGTGTCACCAGGTCTGGACATGGCTTTCTGTGCTCCTGGGGGCAGGGGCTGTGGCAGGGGATGCTGACGTGGGAGTCTGGCTGTTGCTGGTTTGCTGGGTGAGTCGGAGCACCCTGGCTGCTGCTGCCCTTGCCTGTGTTCCTGGCCCTTCTACTATCCAGGGACTTAATTGTGGTTGTATCAGTTCATTGCAGTAGGACTCCAGCCCATTGCTCTCTCCTCTTCTGCAGGGAAGACCGTGACATCTGATAGGGCAGTGGTCTACGCTTCTTGTACTCTTGTTTTCTTTTTTTGAGTTGCAGTCTCGCTGTGTCACCCAGGCTGGAGTACAGTGGCATGATCTCGGCTCACTGCAATCCCTGCCCCCTGGGTTCAAGCAGTTCTCTGCCTCAACCTCCCGAGTAGCTGGGATTACAGGCGCACCCTATCATGCCCAGCTAATTTTTGTATTTTTAGTAGAGACAGAGTTTCACCATCTTGGCCAGGCTGGTCTTGAACTCCTGATCTCGTGATCTGCCCGCCTCGGCCTCCCAAAGTGCTGGGATTACAGGCATGAGCCACTGTGCCTGGTAGAATTCTTGTTTCCTTTTGTCAGGCATGGGGTCCTCAGTTCTGTTACACTCAGTGGAGTACCCCCTTTCCATCTGTGGGCAAGCCAGAGGGCCTGTGCCGTCAACTTGTCTCCTCTGATCCAAATAATACAGAGGGGATCGCTGCTGTTCTCTTCATACTGAGTGATACTTCTCATCAAAGGATTGTGGACCCAGTAGACTAGCAAATAGGGGTTGTTGTACCACATAGTTCATTTTTGTGTTAAGCAGGCAAAACTAGGATTGAAGTGGAGCTGATGGAGAAAAGACTCATGGAAGCGACAAGCCCATGTGATGTGGGCTGAGTTGTCAGTGAGTCCCAGGCGCTGGGGGCTGTCCCTCCTGAAACTGGCAGGGGCTCAGACGTGAGATGGGGTCTGGGGGTATCTTGCCACTGATGCCCTTCGGGTGTGGTCATGATTGTTGTGTTACCCTCTGGCCAGCTGAGCCTATGGTTCTGTCTTCTCAGGTCTGATCGATGACTACAAAACCCTCCATGGCAATGCCCCAGCCCCAGGCACGCCAGCAGCTTCCCAATGGCAGCCACCCACTTACCACAGTGGCAGGGCCTTCAGTGCCCGCTACCCTCGTCCAAGCCGGAGGGGCTACTCCTCACACCATGGCACTTCCTGGCGCAAGAAATACTCCCTTGTGAATCGGCCTCTGGGACTCTCAGACCCACCTGGCGACCATGCTGTGCAGCCATTGCACGGGGCTAGGGGTGGCCAGGCCCCTGACCCACAGCAGCATGTCCTTGAGAGACAGGTCCGGCTCAGTCAAGGTCAGAACATGGTCATCAAAATTAAACCTCCATCAAAGTCTGGCTCTGCCAAGGCCTCAGGGGCCCAGCGGGGCTCTTTGGAAGAATATGAGGACACCTCCTGGAGTGACCAAAGGCCCCAGGAAGGTGAAGGTGAGCCCCCTGGGGGACAGCTGCAGCCCTCAAGACCAGCAAGAGCCAGGGGCACCTGCAGTGTGGAAGATCCTCTTCTGGTCTGCCAGAAGGAGCCTGGTAAGCCCAGGGTGGTGAAGTCTGTGGGCAACGTAGGCGACAGCCCCCTGGAGCCCCGCCGGACTGCCAGTGAGAGTGTGATTGCTGTCAAGGCCAGCTTCCCATCCTCTACTCTGCCCCCACGCACTGGCATGGCCCTCGGCCGGAAGGTGGGTTCTCATTCTGTGGCCAGCCGTGCTACACAGCTCCTCGGGGACGGGAGAGTAGATGCTGGCCCTGCAGATCAGCCAGTTCCATCTGGCTCAGTGGTGGGTCCAGCCAGGCTGGCCTCGGGACCCAGGCAGGCCCGGGAGGCCTCGCCGCTTGTGTCCTGTCGAACTAACAAGTTCCGGAAAAACAACTACAAATGGGTGGCTGCCTCCGCGAAGAGTCCTCGGGCCGCTCGGAGGGTGCTCAGTCCCAGAGTGGCTGCAGAGAACGTGTGCAAGGCTGCAGCCGGTGTGGCAGGCAAGTTGGAGAAGCCACAGCTCAGAGCTGACCCAGAGCTCAAGCCCAGGAAGGCAGCTACATCCTCCCAGCCAGGGTCTGCCCCCAGCAAGTACAAGTGGAAGGCATCGAGCCCTTCTGCCTCCTCCTCTTCCTCCTTCCGTTGGCAGTCGGAGGCTAGCAGCAAGGAACGTGCCTCCCAGCTCTCCCCGGTCCTGTCTAGGTCCCCATCAGGGGACGGACCAGCAGTAGGACCCAGTGGCTTGAAGCCCCTCTCTGGGGAGACCTCACCCTCAGCTTACAAAGTGAAGAGCCGCACCAAGATCGTCCGGAGGCGGGGCAGTACCAGGTGGGCATCTCCGTCGGCTGCGGTGGAGTGTGAGGGGCTGTGAGGAGGGTTTGCTGGGCATCTCCGTCAGCTGTGGTGGAGTGGGAGGGGCTGTGAGGAGGGTTTGTTGGCACTCCAGGTGCATCCGCTGAGCTTGGAGCTTCGCCTGCAGTGAGATTCACGTTTCCAGCAAGGAATGAGGCAGGGAGTGCTAGTGTCTAGCAGAGCCTGTGGGTCAGGCTCAGGGTGGTTCGGGGGCTTGTCTAGGGCCCAGCACAGACTGGGGAGGGCAGGTGCCCCTCCCTCATGGTGCTGGCAAGCCTGTCCTTTCTCCTGCCGGTGAGATGAGAAGGTTACTGGGGGGCAGCTTCTGTTCCAGTTGCCCAGGGTTCACAGATGGAAGGCTTTGTGCCAGGCCAGGTGCAGGGGGAACAGCCCCCAGGGACCAGACCAGGGTCCATGTGTCCCCAGGAGGTGAGACAGTGAGAGCAGTGTGTCTGCCCCTGGCCTGGAGCTGCCGGCCACAGGTCTGTGCTGGGAGGTAGACTGGGGCTCTGGGTCCTGCCAGGGGTGCCTGATTTTTCCTGCATGCCCTGAGTCTAGGGCTTGGGCTCCAGGAGGCCTGGCGTTTGCTGGTCCCCAGGCTGAGGGCTGCTCCTGCTGGGCTGAGTGGGCGGGAGCTGGGGGGTACTGGTAGGCAGCAGCCTCCTTGGGCGTTCCTGGCTTGGGCTCTGTGGCCTCCGTCGCAGAGTGCGGAGGCCACAGTTGCTCTTTGGCTCCAGGGTGGGCAGATCGGTGTTAGGTCCCAGCCCCCTTGGCCAAGCAGCTGGGCAGTCACTCGCTTGCTTGACACGCATCTCTCCTGGCCTTCCACCCTTGCGGACTTGGGATGAAACTCAGGTGGTGTCATGGCACAGTGCTGGGTCTGGGCTCAGGGACTCCCATCAGGTTGGCAGCTGAGGTGGTGGCTGCACCTGCTGGGCAGAGGGCAGAGGTCCTGCCTTCATCGTCAGGCATGGTGGCGCCCCGTCTCGAAGGCACCTCCTTGCTGTGAACCCCTGCTGTCTGGCCTAGGTTGCTGGCTCGTGTAGCTCATTCTCTCTGGCCCTGGTCCCTTAGACAGGCACTGTCTTGAGGCTCACAGGCCCCCGGATCCTGCTCCTGGCAGCTCTGCTGTAAACCATGCTGGTGGCTCTCTCTGTCCGGGAATGTGGAGAGGGAGTGTAGAGAAGCTGCCCCCTTACCGAGGGGGCTTGGAAGGCCATATGGAGCTGGCGGCCGCTCCCTTTGCCCCACACAGGGGCTCTGGCCTGGGCCGATGGGGAGGAGGTGGCACGTAGGCGGGGATGGAGCACTGAGGTCCCTCTTCTCTCCGTGGCAGCCTGTCCTAGCTCAGGAGTCATCTGGGCTTGTGGGTTCAAGCCCACCACCTCAGCCTGGCTGTGGAGGGTGGACTGAGCTGCTGTTGGGGGAGGCCTGGCCCTGACCATGGGGGCTGCTCCCATGCCTCTTGAGCCCTGGCGAGGAAGGGTGAGTGGGCAGAGCCCCCAGGGCCTATTGAGAGCTGCCTGCATTTTGTTTCCACAGCCTTCCTGGAGACAAGAAAAGCAGCCCGTCACTTGCCACCACTGCCAAGAGCCACCTCAGCCTCCGGCGGAGACAGGCCCTCCGGGGGAAGAGCAGCCCCGTCCTGAAGAAGACCCCCAACAAGGGCCTGGTACAGGTCACCACACACCGGCTGTGCCGCCTGCCCCTGAGCCGGGCCCACCTCCCCACCAAGGAAGGTACGTTGGGAGCAGCGGCCCTGGGTGCTGGGGCTGGGCACGCCTGCGCTGGATGCTGGGGCTGGGCACGCCTGCGCTGGGTGCTGGGGCTGGGCACGCCTGCGCTGGGTGCTGGGGCTGGGCACGCCTGCGCTGGATGCTGGGGCTGGGCATGCCTGCACTGGCTCTGCCGGCCTGTTGGGAGCCATGGGCACCTTCCCTGTCTCGTGCTGTTAGAGGCTCTGGTCAGGAGGGCACTGCCTGGCAGGCAGTGGGTGGTGGGCTGGTGGGTAGAGGAGAGGGCCTGGGTGCTGTGCCCTGTGGTCCGGTTGTGGGACATGCTGCTGGACAGGTGCTGTGGCCTTTTCCGTGTGTCCCTTGGTGTGTACTCAGCTCTGTCCCTCCTGAGGGAGGAGAGGGTGGCTGCTGAGCCCTGAGAGGGGGGTGAAGCCCTTGCTTGTGCTGTCCTGGGCACCCCCAGGCCTCTGGCTCCTCCAGGGCCCTTCTGTGCTCTTTTGGCTGGGGCTGCAGATCCACCTGCCCTGCCCTTTCTCAGTGTCATGTGGTGCTGTTGTTTTTGTTGTCTTGAGACAGAATCTTGCTCTCACCAGGCTTAGCTCACTGCAACCTCCAGCCCTTGGGTTCAAATCATTCTGCCTTAGCTTCCCGAGTAGCTGGGACTATAGGTGCGCACCACCACGCCCGGATAATTTTTGTATTTTTTGTAGCTACAGGGTTTCACCATGTTGGCCAAGTGGGTGTTGATCTTTTAACCTCATAATCTGCCCGCCTTGGCCTCCCAAAGTGCTGGGATTACAGGTGTGAGCCACAGTGCCTGGCTCATGTGAGTTTTTTGAGTGGCCTAACGGAGCCGGTCTGGTCTCCTGCTGTATCGCTGGGAGTGTGCCTGGTCCCGTCTGGAGAGAACTGGCCTGAACCCCTGCAGTGGCCTGGGAAGGCCCTGGCCTGCAGGTTGGGGGGCATAGCCCTTTTGAGGTTGACCCTACCTGCCCTGTGGTGATGGTGCCAGGACACACTGGGGGTGCGGCCTCCAGGCGGGCACGGGCTTGGAGGGTCTGGAGCCCTTGGGTGTGGCACCCCCCCAGACACTGGTAGGGGGGTCAACGTGGAGCCACGTGCACCTGGTCCTGTGCAGCTCTGTGGTTCCCCTGGGCACGTTAGGGCAGTGGCTTCCCACGTTCGTATTTGTGACGTCTGGGGAAGGTGGGGCGTTGGGTATTGAGCAGGCTCGGACCTGGGCATGCTGACTGGGAACTGCTGCTCAGAAATCCAGCCAAGGCTGGGCGTGGTTGCTCATGCCTGTAATCCCAGCTCTTTGGGGGACCAAAGAGGGAGGATCACTTGAGGCCAGGAGTTCAAGATCAGCCTGGCCAATGTGACAAAATCCTGTCTCTGGCTGGGCGTGCTGGCTCATGCCTATAATCCCAGGCCTTTGGGAGGCCGAGGCAGGCGGATCATGAGGTCAAAAATTGAGACCAGCCTGACCAACATGGTGAAACCCTGTCTCTACTATAAATACAAAAATTAGCTGGGTGTGGTGGTGGGTGCCTGTAGTCCCAGCTACTTGGGAGGCTGAGGCAGGAGAATCACTTGAACCCGGGAGGCAGAGGTTGCAGTGAGCCGAGATCGCACCACTGCACTCTAGCCTGGGTGACAGAATGAGACTCTGTCTTAAAAAAAAAAAAGAAACCTAGCCAAGGGTACTATCATCTAGGCAGGCTTCAGAAGGCTTGGGAAGGAGTGGGGTCCGGGCAGAGCCAAGAGCTGTGTGGGGGCTGCCATGGGAGGGCAGGGTGTGGGGTCCCAGAGGGAGGGCTGAACGGGGTGGTGCAGCCAGGGGCTGCTACACAGGAGGAAGTGAGGCGGGGGGGTGCTGGTTGGCTGCCCCCATTAGGTGACGCCTGCTGCATGCCAGGACACATGTGAATTTCATCCTGGTGATAGGGAGCAAGCAGAGACCCACGGGGTCCTGGGCGGCCACAGTGAGGAGGCCAGAAGGGGCTTAAAGTGGTCTGGAAGTGGACAGTGGGCGGTACCCCCGTCACTTGGGGAGGCGGGGTTGAGGAGGCCACCGGCTCTGGGAGGCCGGTAGGGGCTGCTGAGCCTAGGAGGCTGAGCTTGCAGATGGTGTGGTGGTTGAGGTGATAGGCTCCCCACTGGGTGCAGGGTCAGCCCTACTCACCTGGCCTGTTCCCTCTTCAGGCCTTTAGTAGAGGGGGGCATAGGCAGGGGACGGTAGAGGCTGCTTCCTGCTGGCAGGGCCTTGCCTGGCGCCCGCTGGATGCCTGCAGGGAGGAGTGTGGGCTTGGGAGGCCACCAGCTTCACCAGCTGAGCGTTGCCCAGTGTATAGCTGAGCGTTTGCTGCAGCCCTGCCTCATTGGGGGAGGGCGTAATTGATCTCATCGTTATTTTTTTTTAATTTAATGTTTTTAGAAACAGGGCCTTCTCTCCCAGGCTGGAGTGCAGTGGTACAATCACGGCTCACTGCAGATGCCCTGGCCATGCCTTACCCTCCTAGGCTCAAGTGATCCTGCTGAGTAGCTGGAACTACAGGTGTATGTCACTGTGCCTGGCTAATTTTTAATTTTTTGTAAGGACAGGGTCTTGCTATGTTACAACACATAGTCCTCTGCTGGGCAACGTAGTAAGACCCTGTCTTGAACTCCTGGGCTCAAGTGATCCTTCTGCCTTAGTCTCTTAGAGTGCTGGGATTACAGGTGTGAGCCACTGGGCCCAGCCACACTCGCAAAGACCAACATGAAGCTTTGCGCGGCGACAGCATTGTAGCCTATGAGGTTTATCTGAGGCGTGATTATTGCTAATTGAAAACCTTTCCCAATACCCTCCCATTATGACTTGAAATATAGTCGGCACTGGCAATTTTTGCCAGTCTCTATGGAGACTGAATTTAAAAAAAAAAAAAAAAGGAAAAAATAAAAAGACCAACATGAGGTTGGGCGTGGTGGCGCACGCCTGTAATCCCAGCACATGGGGAGGCCAAGGTGGGTGGATCATGTGAGGTCAGGAGTTTAAGACCAGCCTTGGCGACATGGAGAAACCCCGTCTCTACTAAAAATACAAAAATTAGCCAGGTGTACTGGCGAGCGCCTGTAATCCTGGAACTTGGGAGGTTGAGGCAGGGGAATTGCATGAACCCAGGAGGCAGAGGTTTCAGTGAGCCGAGATGGCACCATTGCACTTCAGCCTGGGTGACAGAGTAAGATTCTGTCTCAAAGAAAAAAGACCAGCATGATGGCTGCATGGAGTGAGAGGAGAGGGTCCTGTGTGAGGAAGGGCTGGGGAGGCGTCTCACTCACTTGACCACCACTGGCCCATCTGGCAAGCACGGTTGAGCCACTGTGCCTGGCAGCCTGCTGGCTCCTGGGGATACTGCGGTGAAGGTAAAGAGAAGATGAGGCTGGAGACACTTTCCAGTGGTGGAGACAGCCACCAGAATGCTTGTACATTGGCCAGAAAGGTGCTTCTAGGTGGAAAATGCCTTCTGAGGAACAGTCAGGGGCATAGCATTGGGCAAGCTGCAGACAGGTGCACTCTGGATGGGAGGGCCTCTCTGAGGAGGTGACCTGAGCAGAGAGGAGGGAACAGGGCTCAGCTCTGCAGGCTGAGGTGGAGGTGGGAACGAGCTTACTGTGTTCCAGGAGCACAGGGAGGCTGTGGGGCCAGTTCACTGTCCAGGAGTGTGGCTTGGAGGGGTTGGAGCCAGCGGGGCAGAGGACCAGGGCCCAGGAAAGGGTCTTGTAGGCCACAGGAGGGAAAGGGGGTTGGTTCTGGCTACTTGGGAATCCGGGGAGGTAGAGGGGAGGACCCTGGCAGGGGAGGACCTAGAGCCCCAGGGTGTCTGGCCTGAGTGGGCAGTGAGTCAGGAGGGCCTGTGTGTAAGGCTGTGGACACCAGGCCGAGGAGCAGAGCCTGCAAGCACTCAAGTGGGCAGGGAGCACGTGGAGGTGAGAGGCCAAGCCTGGCCACTCAGGTAGCTGGCTGCAGGGGAGATGGGCATGGCCAGGGTGTCTGCTGAGGAGATGGGAGGCTGAGGCCCGGGAAGTGGGTGCGTGGGTCCCACAGGTACCCTCCTGCAAGGCCCACCATCTCCCTCCCTGCCCGCCTAAGAACTGAGGTCTGCCTGTCCCGAGCCCTGGCCAGGTGGGCTCCTGGGTAGGGCCCAGCTTTGTTTCGTTTAATGCTGCAGTGTCTGGAGAGCCAGTGAGCTCTTCCCGGACCCTCCCTCAGCCCTCCTGGGTGGCCAAGGCCTCCATCAGCTGGGGCATTGCTGGATGCTGCTGTTGTGTGGGCTGTGGATGGGGCCGGCAGGTGGGGCTGCTCCTTCATTTGGCTGCTTGGAGTTTTCTCTTTCCCCGTTTTCTGCCCAGCAAAAGCTCAGTTCCAGCTCCACCTTTCCTCTTAAGGAGATGGCAGTGTCCCAGTGTCCAGTGGGGACCTCCCTGTGGGCTCTTGCACTAGGGACAGGGGCTTCTGGAAGCTGCCAGGCAGCCCTGCTGTGCTGCCCAGTGGCCAGCAGAGGGCGCGCTTGCCCCTCCTATCCTCTCTATCCGCCCTTTTTTGGTAATTGATCGCCTAATTTCCTCTTTATGTGAAAGAAAGCAGATATCAAGTAATTTGCAGCAATAACCTGCTAATGCTGGGCCAGTACCGAAACTCCCCTGTTCATTTCAAGTGGCAGATAAAACGCTAATACATAATTATCCTTGCAAATTGGATTATTTTAAATAACCAAAAGGCTACGGCCAGGAGAAAGCGATCCCATCTCCCCTGAGTTACTATTGCAGCATAATTGCCGCGTTCAATCAATTTCCCTGGCATTAGAAATTCCATCACAATCAACATTAAGCTTTATTCATTGTGATGGCTAAGAGCCGGGCCATTTCTCCTCTTTTTCTTAACTGGCAAAATTAATCAGGGAAAAGATTTTAAACATTTACCCGTGCGAAAGAGGTCAGCCCTGCCGCTATATTGCTCAGCAGATAAGGGGGCTAATAAAAAGAAAATTGAATTACTAATGATCACCAGGAACAGAGTATATAAAACCTGGCAATCGCCAGTTCAGGAAAAGGGAGAATCAATTTTCTCAGGACAAGGTGCGTTCATTTTTTATTTTGGTGCATATGATCAGCAATTTAATTTGAGAGGCATAAACAGGAGGAAACAGTTAGGGAATAATGAGCCTGGAGGTGTAAAGTGCCGCAGGATATATGCTGTACACAATTTATTTGGCACAACAGATAATCGCTTTAATTGAATTCAAAAGTGCATTGTTCAGCAGCAGTGTGGCCGCTCACGCCTGGGCACTGAGGCTGTTGGGAAGCTTCCAGCCTGACTCTTCGGTGCCTCTCCTCCCCTCCCCGCCTCCCCGACCCTCCAGAGTCCTCTGGGCCTGGAGTCAGACCCCGGCTGGAGGCGGGGCAGGAGATTCCTGAGGGTCTGTCCCTCTGCTGTCTGTGTGCCCCTTCCCTTTTCTCCTGGGGATGGGTCTGTTGGCAGCTGTGGGATGAGGATATGAGACACTGGCCAGGCACTGAGGCTCATGCCTGGGATCCCAACCCTTTGGGAGGCTGAGGTGGATGATTGCTTGAACCCAGGAGCCCAAGAGCCTGGATAACATGGCAAAACCCCATCTCTACAAAAAACACAAGAATTAGCCAGATGTGGTGCCACATGCCTGTAGTCCCAGCTACTCAGGAGGCCAAGGTGAGAAGATTGCTTAGGTCTGAGAGTTTGAGGGTATAGTGAGCTGTGACTGGCACCACTGCACCCCAGCCTGCGTGACAGAATGAGACCCAGTGTGGGGGATGTGGGGCCAGCTTCGTGGTGCGTCCTCCTGGGGCCCGTCGCTGTGCTCGGCCACCCTGAGATGACAGGCATGATGCCCTAAGCCTGGCCGGCCTGTACAGCAGAGGGCTGCTGTCCAGGCTGTACACTCTGGGCCAGGCCAGCTCTCCCACCCACCACCCTGCGCCCAGGCTGGGGAGCTTCTTGGTGGCAGGAGGTGATGGGACTCTTACCAGCCACATGGAGACATCTGCTGTTGTATGCCAACGAAAAGTCGTGGCAGGTGGGTGGGCAGTGGTGTCATCATCTGCTGGGATGGGAGGGCCCTCTGCTTCATTCACCTGGGATGGTGGTCTGCCTCCTTCCCTTATGGCCTGGGATGAGCCCTGGGCCCTGCCTGGGAAGTGGCCCCCTTTCCAGACTCGTCGCCAGCGTGTTGGGTGAGCGTGCGGGCCTGGCAGGGCCCAGGCACACCTGTGGTAGACAGAAAGGGCCCAGCTTGCAGAGTGGACTCATGTGGACAACCAGGCCGACCCGAGGCCTGCTGGCTGCCCAGGCTTTGACAGGAGCCAGGCCAGGCATCTGCCTCTGGCCCAGAGCTTGTCGGACATATGAAGGGCGTTTCCTACCCGTCCCTCAGTCCGCTGTGCCGGCCCCAGGGTGTGGAGGAACTGCTGTCAACATTCCCAGAGGAGAAGAAGAGTCTCCACTCACCCCAGGTCACTGGCAGAAAGGGCAGGCCGGGGTCTTGGACTCTGCTCTGGCTGGTGTCACCAAGTTCCAGGGCCGCCCTGCCTAGGTGAGTCTGCTGGGGCCCAGATGCCCATTCCTCATCAGCCCGGATGCTTATGAGTCCGAGTTTCTCTGAGAAAGTGCCTAGGGAGACCCTGTGTGAGCTGTTGGCCCTCAGCCCCTCCCTGCTACTAGGAGGTCATCATGGCCTCCCCCAGCCCCAGCCCAGGACCCAGAGTGGGACTTGAGGGGCTGGGCCCCTTGATCACACGGCGCTCCCTGGATACTGGGTCTCACACTCTTGCCCTGGCAAAGCCGAAAGTATCCTCGCAAAGCCCACCCGCCCACCCAGTCCTGTGTGGGGTCTCCCCTACTGTGGCGGGACAGTTCCTGGACTGCTGCCTCCTGGCTGCTGGGTCTCGGGAGGACCTTCCTTGCCTGGACTGCTGCCTCCTGGCTGCTGGGTCTTGGAAGGGCCTTCTTGGCGGCTGTTCAGAGGGCTGTGACCCCTCTGAGTCCTCAGTGGTCCCTAGGGCCCTCCCTGTGTCCTTGGGTCCTCCCCGGGCACATGGCTTTTTTCTGTGTTGCCTCCCAGTACCTTGGGGAGGGGGCGGTTTGCCAGGCAGCCCTGGCGTCAGAGGCCTGGCTGTATTCTGCCCCCAGCCCATGCTGTGGCTTTGCACTGGTTGGCTACAGATACTTATGGGGATGTCATTGAGCAGGCACCTGCTTGGGAGTGTGACGGCCCCTCTGCCCCTCTGTCCCCAGCGGCTTCTCCCAGTGGCCACCGCAGCCTGTGGATTCCGGTGTGTGGGAAAAACCCAACTACTTTCTCTCGACTGACCCTGCCCCCTCTTGAAGGCCTTGCCTAGCTCTAGCCAGGCCCACCCTCTGGCCAGGCCCCTCCCCATCTGTAGGTGTGCACAGTTTGCTCCCCTCATTCAGGAGTCTGTGAGGTGGGCCATGGTCTGCCTTCCCAGGCCAGCTCCTTGCTCTGCCGCCAGGGGCATTCCTTCCCCCTGCCTGTTTCCTGTTGCAGGAATTACTATGTATTGCCCATCCTGCCTGTTGGGAAGGTTCTTTGGGGAGCACCCTGGCTGCCTTGTGTGCAGGACAGTCACCACACTCAGCGGGCAACGGAGGGGTGAGGGCCTGAGGGCTGCTGCCCACCAGGAGGAAAAGCCACAGGACTCCCTGCCCAGACACTGTCCTGCCCCTTTGAGACACGCAGGCTGGTGGAGGTCGGCAGCAGCACTCAGAGGCCTGGTGAGCGAGCCCTGAGTCTGGTGCTCATGGCCTGGATCTTTGCTGGACGCCATGAGGAGAGGTATGAGCCCCCAGGCGTGGTGCAGGCATGGCCTGGGG